GGAAGGAAGGAAGGAAGGAAGGAAGGAAGGAAGGAAGGAAGGAAGGAAGGAAGGAAGGAAGGAAGGAAGGAAGGATGGATGAAAGTCCTTCAAAGAACTTATATTCTATTGATAGGAAACAACATGAACACAAAAAAGTAAACAGAAAATACATGTAAAAACAGTTAAGACTAAACTCAAAGGCTGCTTCTTCCAAGAAGCTGTCCTCAGCTGCCCAGTGGAGTAATGACCCTTCCATACCCAACATGACACTTTACTTTGCAACATTTACATAATATTGCATCTTATAATTATTGTGTTGGTATCTTTTTCTCCCACCAGAAACTCCCTGAAAACACAGACTAAGCTTTATATCTCAATTCTTTATCTCCCCCAGTAGTTATTGCAATGCTCTGAATACACCAGGCATTTGGTTAGCTGCATTGTACGGTTACTGCATTGTCAAAGCAACCACTGAGATTTACTTTGATATTTCAGCAGGACAAATAAAAGTTCCCCATTTGTACTGCAGATATTTCCTTCCAAGATATCTCAGGAATTATGAGCTCAGTTCTGACAGGAAGAATCCTCAGATCCCTTTAATATGATCACAACATACATTGAACTGTAGATCCTCACAATCAATATGAAATGCACAGAGCTGCAATATCACAAGCCCTGTACCTATGGCATTTTACATCAAAATTGCACCAGAAGGGTGGGGTTTTTTCCCACCACCATCCACATCCTTGTTCCATCATATAGCCACAGTTGTTTCCCATTATGGGAGCACTGAAAGATAATGTCCCCACTATGGGTGTAGCTCATTGAGAAGAACAAGGAGGATAATCAGGAGCCCCTGGCTTAAAAAGCCACAGAGTTCTCAGCTCTTAGAACATCAAACCCTTCTCCCAAGCCTGGCTCCTCTTCCTTGACCTGCTTAGTGTCTGGGTTTTGCTGACCTTCACTTTGGCAGCCAATTCTACCTGCTCCTTTGGATCTCTTTGAGTCCTGATTGCTAACAATCTGCTCCCAGGCTACAGACAGATCTCTCCCCTCCATGTTCTCAGATTAGCCTTCCCCACTGGCCTGCACTCAGACCACTTTGTCCATTGTTGGATCACCCATTCCACACCTCTACTCCTTGGCTCCTACCTTGAAAGACTCTCAGGTTTTAGACAATGCCATTCCCCAGGTCTGCCACATGAACAAGACAATTATGAACAATAATTCTCAGTCATATTGTCGAGTGACAATAAGATATGGCTCTTGGAGAAAGGAGAAAGGAGGGTCAGATTCCTAGGTATTCCTAATGAAGGTTTCTGAGACATGTTAGAAATTTTAATGGAATATTAAAAGAATCATTTCCTTCTAATGAATTTTCTGTTTGATGAATGATTACAATATGGAAATCAAGCCTAAGGAATTACTGAAGAAATATTGTTTCCATGAAAATAGGGATTCCCCTGCCTTTTGCTTAATTTGTACAATGGGGACCAAGTCAGGGATAGTCTCTAAAATATCAGCCTAAGAATGCAGAGGTAAGCTTGGCATTAGAGACAAGGTTCTATGTGGAAGGCTGTACTAGGTCCAGAGAAACAGGCATTTCACCTTAGAAAATTCCTCTACTACTTCTCCCTGGGAAACTCAAGGACAATGTCAGATCTAATCTGCCCTTTTTTGTGAAGAGAGGAATTAAACTAAGACAATGGAAGATGTGACATGCCACTACCTAGAATTGATCTGTTCTCAGGATCATCATCATCTCTCTATCTGGAATGCTCCTAGAATGTTAGTCCAAAGGGAAAAGGTCCTGCCTTCAACTGATACGTGATGAGGTCTTCTTGATACTTCAGATGTGACTGTAGCTAATTCTGGCTAATTTGTTTTAATCTCAAACCACTCCATGGCCACTGCTAATTTTGGCTTGATTCAGCATGAGGTGACTAGCTTTGGAGAGGAATCCTTTTATTCCTGTTTTAAGTTAATTGCCCTGTGAAATAAGCCACAGAGAAACCTGTAGCAGGCTAAAGTTTAAGAGATGACATGAGAGGAATCTTCTTAATTCACTTGTTTATTCTGTGAGAACAAATGATTGCTCATTTGGAAGATGAGGGGGAGCCTCAAAGAAGCCTTGCAATTGGTGGTTTGTCCAAATGATTTCCCATAAATAAGGCATGTTCTGAAATAAAGGCATCCATGGTACCCACCATGGTCTTGTCCCAGCATCCCCGTCCCATTGTAGACATTTATTGCAAATGAAAAACCTGTGCAGAGATGGCTGTGTTTAATCCTTATCCAGCCTACTCCCTCTCTTGTACCCTTACCAGGATGTTCTAGCATTTGCCTTGTTTTCCTAGAAATGGTTAGTGGATGGGTAAGCCTATTGACCTTTCCACACAAACAGTGTGCATTCTCAAACTAGCTCACTTGGTGTTAAGGATGCCATCCCATGACTGGACGACTGAATTTTACTCCCGGAAAGGCTTACTGGTCTTGGTGGGGCTGCAACTCACAGTCCTATCCTCTCTCTGGTAACCTCTTCAGCTCCCCTGGATTTAACTCTCACCTCCATGCAAACAAGTCACAGATACATACATTACACACACACACATACACACACACACACACACACACACACACACACACACACACACCTCCAGCATCTCTTCCCGAGCTTCAGTTTCATATGACCAAGTACCTACTAGATTTTTTACATTATATATTTTGGGGAGAATTTAAATTCAACTCTCCAAAACTAAACATATCTTTCCCCAAAGCTCTTTCATTTTCCAAATTTTACTATGTTTGTCAAAGTCACCACCATCCTTACAATCTTTCAGTTTCATAACCTTGGTATCATCCTTGACTCCTCACTCACCTTCTCCCTCCACATCCAATCAGATGCCAAATCTTGCCATTTCTATCTTCTTCCATCCAACAGACCTCGTTCTCTGTACTCACACAATGACTACTTTAGTTCTGGCCCTCACCACTTCTTGCCTAGATTAAAATAGCTTCATGATTATCTCCCTGCTTTGAGTTTCTCACTTTTCCAGTCCATCCTACACACGGCTACCAAAGTGATTTCTATTTTCCTTAGACTTACCTCTGACATGTCACTCTGCCTAACTCCATCAACTCCAGTATCTTCCTGTTCCCTCTAGGATTAAAATACAAACTCTATTAGCTTTTAAATCTCTTCAAAATGTATATCCAACCTGTTTCCAGTCTCACCCGCCATGACACTCACCTTCACACTTTTTCTTCCAACCAAACTGGCCTTCCATCTCTTCCTTACACATGGCACTCTATTGCCCTTCTCCATGTCTTTGCACTGGCCTAATCCCATACCTGGAATGCACTCCCTCCTCAATTTCACCTGCTAGAATCTTTCTTCCTTCAAGATGCAGCTCCAAAACCACTTTCTATGTGAAGCCTTTCCTGATCCACCCGACTTCTTCCTGCCCTCCCTGCCAAACTACCTCCTACTTGGAATCTGATTTTTTTCTTTTAAGTTATTCAGTATACATTTAAATATATACTTTTTTTTCTTCATTAGAATGTAAACACTTTGTGAACAGGGATTGTTTTCATCCATTGCATTTATTCCCTCCCACTTAGCATGGTGCCTTGCTGGTAGGAAGTATTTATTACATAAACATTTGTCTATTAGCCCCTCATACTCACCAGGAAAGTTCACTAGCTCTGATGCAGCTAGTCATGAGATAAGAGAACAGATTCAGTGCCTATCACCAAGTGCTATGAAAACATCTATTTCACTCTCCATGCGATCCCCATGTATGTTATGAGGACAGGGCCAAAGAGCTAATAGAAAATAATTTTACAAATCATCTTTTTCTTTAAAGGGCTAAACTGAGTCTCACAAGACTGGACTGAATTCAAATCTCAAGTACAGAAAGATGCTCTTGATAAATGTGTTACTTATTTATTGAGCTAAGCCAAAAGAAAAGTAAGGGGGAAAGTCCCACTCCTAAACAATTAAGATAATAGGTGCATTCAGTAGATTCTGATTGCTACACATGAAGTCAAGAATGTAAGTGGCGGGAAATTGTTCATTGACCCAATTTTATAAGGCAACCCTCTGCTTCTGCTAAAATGGCTTCTAAAAGGTTTTCTACTCTCTGATGTTGTTTATTTCCACTGCATAAATTCTTAATTCTCTTTCAGTGGTTTCTCTGCCTGACACCAACCCAAAAGAAGGATGACTGATTTTGGCCCAGGCAAGCTGACCGATATCTGGCACTCAGCCTGCAGTGTAGCCTCTGATAAAGGTTCCCTGGCTAAATAAGTCAATGTGAGGATACTATAATCCTTTTGTAGAGTTTTTAAAAAGAAGAAGATGGCGGCTCTGAGAGCCCTTACCTCCACAGAGAGCTCTCCAGCACCTTTCCCATGTCAGCATGGTAATACTTAGTCAGAATCAAAATCACCTATGGAAGGAAAGAAACAAAAGAAATTAGTGACCACTTCCAACCTCAGAGAGAAATATCACTTTTTATCTCATGGTGTATATTTCATTACATATCAAACACTGTGGGTGGGCTCTTTACTTTTTCTTCTAGTTGGTCTTAGAGGGAGGTCCTGCGTACAAATGGTCCTCCATGCCTCTTTGGGGAAGATGAAGATGATTCTGGGTTCCCAAAGGTTAATGCCAGTGAAAAACAAGTTCTCATAGCCCTGTAAGGTTCTATCAGTCAGTGAGTCAGTCCATGAGCATTTATTAAGCACTTACTATGTGCTGGGTACTGTGCTAATCACTGAGGATACCAAGAAAGACAAAAACATGGTCCTGCCCTCAAGGAGTTTACATTCTAATGGCAGAGACAAGCAATCAAATATCTATGTATGTATAAGATATTTTCAGTGTAAAGGGGAAGTAATCTCACAGGAAAGGCACAGAGGGGGATGTTGGGGGGAGGGGCAGAAAAAAAGCCTCCTGCAGAATATGGAATTTGAGCTCAGTCTTGAAGAAAACCAAGGATGTTAAGAGGTAGCAGGGGGGAAGAAGAGCATTCAAGCCCAGCTTTGAAAAAACCTGCATTGTCACCAAAGGAATAGCTGAGATAGTCCCAGGCTTGACAGAGAGTGGAGCCAGCTTGACTTCTCTTGTGTGGTATTTATCTTAACCAATATGTTCCACAAAGGCATCGGACTTCAGCCAGTGAGTGGCGCTTTGGTTCTCCCTCCAAGCCCAGAAAGACAGCCCTGAAACATGCCATCTCATTACTTTTCTTGAAATGGTGGCTGCTTTCCAAGGCATATGGAGGAGGGGGGTGTATAAATCATCCACGGTTCAAAAACTAAATAAAAAAATGTATTTAGCACATAAATTGAACCCCACTTAACAAAGACGTTTTCATTATGTACCAATGAAGAAAATGGAAGGGGTTTAAATTGGATGGAAACCTATCCCACTTCAAATTAATTTAAAATATTTAAGTTAGCACAAAAAATATAGGAAGCCGACATCCATCAAGTCACAGACACTGGTCCAGTGGGGAAGGGGATTCATCCAAAATTATTTCACTGGCCACTGCATTTTAACGTACATCAAATTCCATTCCACTCTCTGCCAGCCCATGTTAGTTCTTAACACTACAGTTGCCATGGGAACCCCAGAGAGGTAAAATTGGAATGGGCTCCAAGTCCCTGCACAGCTGTTAGCTTGGTTAATTTGGGGTCACCACATCAGCCATCTCCAGCAGTTTGGATCTATCATTCAACTGGGACCATCCTCTTCTCCCACAACCCACTGCATACTGCCAGAATGGACAACTGGGATTGAGTCTGGCATGAGATTTCCTAGGAGATGAAGAAAAGGTTGTATATGGGGTGCTTACATCTTGGACATTAACACTTCAGAACTGGACAGGAATGAGCATTAAGGACCAACTGCTTTCTCTTACAAGAGAGAAAAGAGACTAGCCTACAGCCAGATGGTCATTTAAAATTCAGACCTTTTCACTAGTGGACGATACACTTATCAACCTCCCAAGACCCCTAATAAATGGTTCTACAAGACACCCTCAGCCATTCTCAGGAGATGGAAATCATTAACAACATTGACTCATCCCACTGTGCTCTACTGACTCCGTAAACTTCCAAGCCAATGGTCTAGACTGGAATTCATCAAAACCTCAAGTTTTACTACTTATTTCAGGGGTGACTGACAACTGTTCCTTTTACGTGGGAAGAGATAATACTTCTATGCTAGATGGAAGTAAACAAAACCAGCTGAGAAAAGTTTTATAAGAAAATAATAACAAGAAAACAAACGTCAGTCTTAATTATAGCTTAGAGTTAGAGTCACCCAGATATCAAGTGGGAGAACTGGGATTTGAACCTATGTCTCCTGGCTTCCAGAATAGTACTTTTTTTTTTTTTTTTTTTTTTTTTTTTTTTTTGGTGAGGGCAATTGAGGTTAAGTGACTTGCTCCATTAGTGAGTGTTATCTATCTCAGGCCGGATTTGAACTCAGGTCCTCCTGACTACAGGGCCAGCATTCTATCCACTGTACCACCTAGCTGCCCCCAGAATAGTACTCTTTCTCCTACCTTCTATTACCTCCAACTAGGTGGTTCAGTGGTTGGAGTGATAGGCCTATAATAAGAAAAACCAGAGTTCAAGTTTGGCTACAGATACTTACTAGCTGTGTGACCCTGAGCAAGTCACTTTACTTTTCTTTACCTCACTTTCCTCATCTATAAAATGAGGATAATAACAGTACCAACCTCCCAGGGTGGTTGTGAGGATCAAATGAGATAATAATTGTAATGCACTTAGTACAGTGCCTGGCACATAGTAGGTGCTATATAGAGATGTTAGCAATTATTAGTTATCATTATTATTATTATTGTTGTTGTCAGATGAAACTATATTTCATAGATTTTAGAAGTGCTTGATGAATAATTGTACATTTTAATGGAAATCAAGTGAATCATTTGAACTTACACAACTATTTTCTTTTCTCTTTCCAAATGTATGATTCATAAATAATTGGTTAAGAAGCCTATGAGAAAGAGAATATTTCAATGGCTCATTGATCTCCTCAGTGTAGTCACCCTTCTATTAGCACAGCTCACAACACACCATGCATTTTCTCATCTTTGCTTTCTCATCTCATGCATTTTGTTGATATGTCCTTCCCTAAACCTACAAAATTAAATATGTAGACAGACAGATGGATAGGGAAAGATGGCAGGAAGAGTAGGAGGGTCAGAGCCAGGTCAGGGCTCTCATAGCTTTTACTCCTGATTCCTCTGACTTCTATTATACCTCTTACCTGTTTCTTAGATTCTTTCCTTCTGCTCCCCTCCTTTTGATTGGTAAATTTTGAATCCTTCTTCCCTTCCTCACTGCTGACTGCCCCAGATCTTGAAAACTCTCTTAGCTCACCCAAGCCTTATGACCTATCTCTTCCTGCTACTGATTGAGGTCTGGTAACAGTCACACCCCTTGCCTTGCATGGGGACAAAATCTGAGTGAAAGATTTTGCCCTGACAAGTGACCTCTCTCATAGCTAGCTCTTTCACATCCCTGATTACTCTGAGTGTCTTTTTTTTGAGGGGAGGGTTGTCAAGATGTATCATTTTATCCGTTTGGGAATTTCAGGTGAGGAAACTTCCTCTTTCAACACAATTTAGTGATTGCTTTGACAATGATAGTCTTAAAAAGTTGACTGGGAACCCTAGCAGGTTAACTGTGGATTTGCCTAAAGTCATACAACCAATATGTGTCTGAGACGTAGGATTTAAACCCAGGTCATCCTTCCGTTAGACCACACTATCTCTCAAAGTGCTAATTACTCTTGAAAACACAAGGTGCAAATGGAATGAGCTACATTTATTCCTTCTTTTGAGCTTTTCATAAAACACAAAGTAATTCACATTTTCAAAACACTTTGCTTACCAACCACTTTCCTCCCAACAGTTCTGCTACTGAACTGGATTGGAAAAATAATGACCTCCAGAAGGAAAGGACCTAGGATAAAATTCCAGCTCAGACCTTTACTAACCATATAACTCAAGGCACCTTACTTCCCTTCTCCAGGCCTCATTATATGTATATGTATATATGTATGTATGTATGTATGTATGTATGTATATATATGTATGTATATATATGTATATGTATATGTATATGTATGTGTATATGTATGTATGTATGTATGTATATATATGTATGTGTATATGTGTTTGTGTATATGTGTGTGTGTGTGTATATGTATGTGTATGTGTATGTGTATATGTGTTTGTGTATATGTGTGTGTGTGTGTGTGTGTGTGTGTGTGTGTAGAGAAAGAGATACAGAGACAGAGACAGAGACAGAGAGTAACAAGTTAGTGTGGGATAACAGAGAGTCAGAGGCCCCTAAGTTGGGGATACCTAGGCTCAAGTGTAGATTCTGACACAAGCAGGATGTGGGACTGTGGCCAAGTTGCTTCAATTCCATTCTGGGCAATTTTCTAAGAAACAGAACTGGTACTGATGTGCTATGGTAAAAGAATCTCATGAGGAGCTAGCTCCCACACTAATGATATCACAACTATGATTTTAAAATTCTATACCATTATCGATGTGTGCATAAATATATACATATGCATATAATATACATATATATTGAATTATAGCACCGAATGGAAGACACAGTCAGGTTCTATACAGAGGGAACATGCTGTAGTTGATAGATGGCTGGACTGGAAGCCAGGAAGACCTGGGTTCAAGTTCTATCTCTGATATGGGCCTCTGGGGATTTAAAACACTAAGTTGCAGAAAAGGTCCCAATTTGCACTGGTAGAGGAAATTTCCTTATCTGAGAGTTCCCATGGGAATGAAATGACAAGTCCAGTCAATATCCCAATCCATCCATGTTTTATGTAGTCTAGGTTTGAAGGAAAATGAAACCTATATCCTGCCCAATGTGGCAAATGCTATTTCCTGGATTAAACTCAAGCAGAGGAAGAAGAATCCAAGAATGCTTCTTGTCCAGTCAATTATAGGCAATTAATTGGATAGCCCATAGAACTTTTCTATCTATATATCTATATGTATGCATGCATGCGTGCGTGTGTGTATATACCATATATGTATATCATATAAATATAATGTATATTTATGTACATATGCATATGCATGCACATGTGTGGATACATACATACACACATATATAAACACACATATATGTATGTATGAATACATACATATATGTGTATATAGAAACACACACATATATACCTATATACATGCATATACACACACATATATATACATATGCACGCATATATACACGCATACGCGCATATATGCATGCATATACACATATGTACATATACATACGTGTATATATACATGCATATATATATACGTGTGTGTGTGTGTGTGTGTGTGTGTGTGTGTGTGTGTGTGTGTGTGTGTATGAAAAACAA